TAAATAAATGGGTAAATCATAATGTATCTTTCTTATTTGGTTGACTGTGAGTCTGTTTCGGAATCACCATTGATAGACCTTAATGTCTTCAGTCCAACAACACTCTGAGAAGAGAGGAGGGAAGTAGGTCGATCATGGTTTGTATTCTTGAATGAAGACATGGCCTCCCGGAATCCAAAATCAAGAGAGTTGGAGGGTGAAGAGTTATGCTGTTTTTCAAAAGCAAATAATCTCAATGCAGTCACTGCCTGAACACTCTGACAATCTACAGCAATATCTAATGGTGTCTGCCGGGAAAGAAAAAAAATAGGAGGTGAATGGAAAGGGAAATAGGATCAACTGTCTTCTGTATATACCATGTGTAGACTATCCTTGATATCTGCTTTGGCATGTCTCTTCAGCAAAGATAAAACCAATCTCACACTGTTGTTGGATGCAGCATAGTGAAGAGCTGACCATCCTTTTCCATCCGTCTGATCTATATCAATTTGTCTTTGAAGTAAGAACTCAACACTCACTTCATCCTCGTTATCCACTGCCTTATGCAATGCTGTTCTTGATTCATCTCCTGGATTTCTATAGTCAATATCAGCTCCCTGTGCCAAGTATTTCAATGATTTGGGAAGATCGCCAGCCTTAATAGAATCCCAAAATGCCTACTCAACCATTGTAAGTGTAGAATTCTATAATTAGCCTTCCCTTTCTTACCTGATTCAATGAAAGAGGATCTAATTCGGTAGGTCTGACAAATGATTTCTTGACATACTTCTCGGTGATCCATAAATCACGGTCTCCTCTGATAAATAAATTAAATGACCTACTCTTTCTCGATATTCTTTCATATTGGGTTTACCTATTTGAACTAGCATCTGTCCTGAATCCTTCCATAGCACTATTCACCAACTCCTCATAAATACCATTACACACCTGATTACCCAGTTTCAACATAACCTAAGGATAGACACATGAATGATAATGTTTTGTCTATCTAGTTTATTCATACCTCTATGGCTTCGGTATCCCATCTATCCAGAATGATAGACCTTACTTTACTCACATGAACACCTAGACTACGATGTATGCCACAACACTCAATACAAATGACAATACCTAGATTAGTACAAGCCCATTCCGGATCGTTCACACCACAATCAGCACACTTGTCATTCCCGGGCATGAACCGTATCTTCTTCAGCTGTAGCTTATTCTTTGCTTCTCCGTCTTCATGTAAATCTGACTGTGACTTTATAAACGAGTCACCCATCGTCTATAGAAAGGTCAAGTGTTAGATAGAAGGGTAGATCAGTATAGAAACCTCCCTTACTTTTCGCATATTATGTGGGATTTGAGAGTATTCTGTACTCTCTGAATTCAGAGCAAGTTGAGCAGCTGTTCGTAGGCTCTGAACCCACTCATTCATATCCTGTTCCGTTTCAGCCTGTAATACGAGTACTCTAGATTCAATAGGGTGTTAGGAAGAGTCTTATCTCGCTTTACCCATCATTTACCTGTTAGGTGATATAAGCTCAAAGCAGAATCTTCTGTCATAACTATCTGTCAACTTCACACTGCATACACGCAAATTATTGGTAGTTGTACCATCTTCATCCTTCGATGACTAGATAACACGTTAGAGTCCAATGTGCATTCCCACAATTCCCTATCCATTTACCTTGGGATGACGAGTGGTGGATATCAATTCTCCATTGTAAATTCGAAAGTACTTCCTTGTCCATGTTTGATAGACTCTTCCGTTCTTTCGTTCAAATAAATAACCTGATTTGTGGGTATCTATGGCAACCCCATTAGATTTGGGTGTCATCTGCAGTGGGTTGTAATGTTCTGCGGGCATCTAAAAGTGAATTGAACCCATTTAAATGCAACCTCCTTCTCTGATCTTTTATTGTCAAACCTTTTCACAAGCCTGTTGATATTCCTGTTCCTCTTCCCCTTCTTCGTCGTATCTGACTCTAGTCTATTAGGGTGCGTAAGAGTGTTACAATAGAGTACTATGCCCTGAAATAAAACAAACCTACATCATGCAATAATCCTTTATATGGGTGAGTCATGACACAACCATACACTTTCTCTCACTCACCTGTCAAGTCTCGCATATAAGGTTCCAAGTCTTTCAATAGTTCATAGCTTTGGTGATGGAATGCCGATTTAGTATACATCAAAGCCAGGACCTATGAAAACCAGTCAGTTATCAGACAATGATTCACACATGCACACAGCAATTACATTTTCCATATAATCCACTTTCTTCTTCGCTTGTATGTCATTCAATTTAGAGATATATTCCATATAAGCACTCAGAAACTGCTTCCTTGCATCTGCCAATTCCTTTGCCACCTATAAATTACAAGTTGATATGGAAGTTCCCTGCACATCGATAATCAATTTACCTCGGCCAAAGTGGGGTCTTTTGGTTTCTTACTCATATACTTCGATAAGGCCGAATCCACATCATCACTTGATTTCTCAAACTTCTTCCTGAGTTCCTAATTAACTAGTGTCAACCACTTCTGCTTTCTATTCATAATAAACACATGTTACTTTGATTGGTCCTATCGTGTTCTTTAGAAATGATTCGAGTGGGTTGATGAACGTATCCATCACATGTGAATTCTATGGTGGGACAGTGTTAAGTATAGAAACAAATAGGCATGGTTTGATCTATCATTACAAACATGTTCCTGTTCTTCTCTACTTCTGTAAACGACCTTCCAAACTTCTCTAGTGCTTGACCTATTGACAGTGAGTAAGAAGAAAGGATGAGAAACGAGATGGTGCTTACTGATGATAGGGTCATCTTGGTGACTGGAGAAAGATATGAATTCACGAGCGAGTTCTTGTTGCTGCGTTCCATACTCTGTTATTCTTGTCAATAAAAGAAGAAGAATAGAATGGAGCTTTGGTTTACCTTGTGATATGTCCACTTGGAGACGTGCTAGTTTGATCAAGGTCTTTAGGGACTGTTCAAAATTATGCACTGATTCCTCACACAATTGAATACGTTTTCTGAAACTGGGTGAGTCATCTAGACAGCTTCGTATATCAAGTGAAGGCATGAACTTTGTTATTAATAAATTAGAAAAAAAAAAGGACTAAATAAGATGATATAATTATATAATTAAAGTGTGTGCACTCAAGTGTGATACAAGTCACAGGAAAATAGGGAGGGATTTCTTTCTTTTATTGCTATGGAAACAAGAGAGAGAGTGTATTTAAGGTGTATAATCATCTGTATTATAATATTCAGGGTATTTCTTAATCAGCTCATTCAACTCGTTCTGCTGTCTAATCAGATTGGGTGTTAATTCATCATAAACATCAGTAAACAAGTGTTTAACAGCTGGCTTCTTTCTCTTTTCTGCATTATTAAAGGCAGTCAAGATATCCTTTCTGACCGTCTTACGGTATTCATCTTCTTCTTCTTGGCTCCACCAGTTCTTAAGTTCTAAGTAACGTCTTAAGCGAACAATGGGATTATCAAGTTGAGCTCTCTTCTCTACTTCTGTTCTATCACGATATTTGGTAGAGTCATCAGAAGTACTATGATGTCCAACGCGGTAAGTCATGGCTTCGATGAGTACTGGCTTTTGTTCTCTAATGGCCAGTTCTCTTGAAGCTTTAGTGGCATTGTAAATAGCCCAGATATCGTTACCATCCACACGGATAGTATCAATGCCATAACCAATACCTCTACTGGCAATACCATCTCCTTTGTATTGCTCAGAAGAAGGTGTGGAGATGGCAAATCCATTGTTACGACTACAAATGAGATGTTAATTTAAAACGGATAACCCTACAGTCTTTTGTTTTACCAGAAGAAGATAACAGGACATTTGAGTGTGGCAGCCATATTCAAACCAGCATGGAAATCACCTTCTGAAGCAGCACCTTCACCAAAGAAACAGAGTGTACATGCATCTTGTCCAGACATCTTGAGTGCATAGGCTGCACCTGAGGCTTGTGGAATTTGAGTACCCAACGGTGATGAAATAGTCTGGAAGTTCAGTTTCTTTGATCCATAATGAACAGGCATCTGACGTCCTTTACCATAATCAAGAGCATTTGAGAAACACTGATTAAGAAACTCATCCACCGTGAATCCACGGTAGAGTAACATGAATGCTTCTCGGTACTACAGAGAAAGGTAAGTTACAACATCTACTTGTTTCCCTCTTCTTTTTACCTGTCCGAACACAACATCTTCAGGTGATAATGCTGCAGCAGTACCAATCATGGCTTCTTCACCATAATGTGTCATATAAAAACTAATTCTACCTTGTCTTTGTGCATCATAAAGAAGACCATCCATTGTATGTAATGTGAGCATATCTTTATAACACTTCAATACTTGATCTTTGGGTAAATTAGGGTCATCCTCGGGATTAGCCACTGCACCCGTATGATCCATGACACGGTATGCTCTCAATGGTTCAATCTGCTGAATAAACTTCATTTTATCAGTGTAATTATCTGTAGATGCCCAGTTAGAGATCTTGTTCTGATCATTAGTAGATTCTATAAGAGTAGCTGTAGCAGCATAGTTTGTCTAGTCAATCAAAAACATGAGTATCAAAGGTTCTCCTATCTATCTTGGAGTTTTCACCTTTGCAGCAGTAGTCAATCTTCTCAGACCAGGGAGAGTATGTGTTCTCAAAATAGATCTCAACATAGTATGAATAAAGAGAGAGAGAGAGAGAGAGAGAGAGAGAGAATAAACAGAAAAGAAAAAGATAGAATAAAGGGACTAACGGAATCGTGTGAAATAATTAAGCTTAATTTCTATAATAAGAACGAATGCGTGGGAAAATTGAGTTACTTGCAATCCCAATACTCTTTAGCTCAATTTGACAGATGAAGGAAGAGTCATTCTCTTTTTCGGGTCAAAAAGAGAGGAATGGTATTTACTCTGTTCATTTCTCGGGAAAACAGAAAGAAAATAGAAAATTTGAAGCTCTTTGGATTGGTGTTGTAAAAAAACACAACGACAACTGCAGGATTTGAACCTGCGCGGGCAGAACCCAAGTGATTTCGAGTCACTCTCCTTAACCACTCGGACAAATTGTCAACTGAAATTTGTCGATGCCCAAATAGATGGTCAGCCATATATGGAAAGCTTGTTCCCTCACGTGCCTCCCCGGACCAACAAGCGTAAGTTCAAGCCGAAGATTCCAACTCGCAAGCGCTCAAGTAGAAAGGTCACACAAGATACCCGGTTTGTAGACAATCCTTCAGACTCCAGCGATTCTGGTACTTTCCAGTAGTCTCTGTATCACACTCATTCCACTCCTTCTCGATACTTCTTTATGCAAAGCTATATTCTAGTTTGTTCTCTTCTAGCTTCTTCTATACCACACATGTATACTTCTCGCTATTTCCATTGTACCAAATGTATTATATAAATATCCCCTCAACTTAATGGAAATAAACATCATCTTCTTAACTCTTAATTAACTTTGATATTTGGTTTACTTTTGATATTTGTTCTTTGGTTATATTCGTATTTATTCATTTCCTGTTCTGGTCTCTGGTCTCTCTGAAATTTACATTGGTAGCATTTGGTTGTTAATTTTGTAATTTATACTCTCGACATTGGTTACTCTCACAATTACTAAATATGGCAAACGAAATCAAGTCTTCTTCCTCTAAACCCTTAGATGCTATGGCACTTATTGAACGTATGGTGGAAGCCATAGAAAGAAACTCAGGCAACAAAGCCCTACTAAACACTCCCCCCAATTTTGATGGTACTCGAGATGCTTTCGTCATTGATAGCTGGATAAGATCTGTAGAACGATACGCTAATGGTCAAGGCTGGGATGATACCAAAACCGGCAAATACGCCATTAATCTTTTTAAAGGACGCGCCGATGCATGGTACAGATCTATAGAACCCCTTCATGATCAAGAGCCCCATGGTTGGACCGAATTGAAAAGACTTCTAATAGCTTTCTTCCGCCCTGAAGACTCTGTACTACTTGCTCGTGACAGGATGGCTGTTCTTAAACAGACCGGTGATCTCCCCACTTTCATTAACAAGTTCATGGATCTCAAGCTCTCTATCCCGGATATGCATGATAGTGAAGCTAGAGATAAGTTTGTGCGTGCTTTGAGTGACCCTCTTATGAGGTCACATCTAAGAAGAACTCGCCCCGAAAACCTCCAAGAAGCGATTCATGATGCTCTCTCTTTTGATGCTGGTGAAGAAAATAGACTGCCTGTACCCCGTCGAACTCAACAATTTATTAATGACCCTATGGATATCGACCTCATGAATGACATGCATGCTATGGATGACAGGCGTAGATTCAACAATAACGGTAGATATAACAACAGTAACAACTTCAGGTACAACAACAACATGAGGTACAGCAACAATAATAACAGAGCTAGTAATGGAAGCAACAACAATAACATCACCTGCTATTACTGCAACAAGCGTGGACATATCAAAGCCCACTGTCCTGTTCGTCGTATGGATATTAAGGCATTGGATGAAAATAGGCAGAGACAAAACAAACGGGATTTTCAATAAACGTGGTTGAAGATCGGGAAGCACAACCACGTAGCACACAAAGACTTCCTTATAATAATACACATTCCCCTTCCCCTACTTATAATAACAATGATAGTAATGAAGACAATAAACTAATTGATATTGATCCTTATTCTTCTAGTTCCATTTTAAGTGAAAAGAAATATCCTGTTCTGAGACCTCAAAGTGTATTCTCAAACCGTATGGCTTTATTAAGAAAGGCTTGTGATAAGACTTACTTACCTGCAAGACTGGAATCTGTATCACACACTCAAGATGAATACAAGGACCTGAAGCACTTACAAGAACTGAACTCTATTGATACCAAATTACCGGTTTACTCGGCTACTACCTCTGGTGAAACCGTTAATGTCCTGATTGATAGTGGTGCTTCCGAGAATTATGTATCTCCTAAGATTGCCCGTTTAGCTGATCAATTTACCCCGGTTAGGAACAGACAAGTTGAAACTGCTGGCGGTGAAGTTATCTCTATTGAACACAAAGTCTGTATGAACATTGATTTGAATGGATACAAGGACCGGATTACTGCCTATGTGTTTCCCAACAAGTTTGGTTTAATTCTCGGTCGATCTTGGTTACAGTCAAGTAATGCTCAACCTGATTGGATTAGTGATGTCTGGACCCTCCGTCAACATGGAATGGAAACACATCTGTCACCTAATAATAAGGATACACAATTACCTGACCTCGCTTGTCCTCATTTGAACTATCTAATCTCGCACAAGCAAACTGAACGCCTACTAAAGACTCATCAAGCTACAGGTTACTTAGTTTGTATTAAAGATACTACCGAAGGACAAATAGGCTCTGAATTGTATAGTGTGACATCTGCTACTCAAGATAGCTATTGGACTGGACTGGTGAAACAGTATGATGATGTTTTCCAAAACACGTTACCTGGGCTACCACCGGATCGAAACGTCCAACATGTCATTGACACTGGTGATGCAAGACCTATCAGCAAGTCCCCTTTCAAGATGAGTCCTGCTGAGTTGGATGAACTGAGAAGACAACTGGACGAATTGCTTTCCTTGGGTTTAATCAGACCGAGTACTTCTCCTTGGGGTGCTCCGGTTCTGTTTGTTAAAAAGAAAAACGGTGAAATGAGAATGTGTATCGACTACCGCGCTCTGAACAAGGTTACTATCAAGAACAAGTACCCATTACCAAGAATCGACGAGTGTTTGGATAGGCTACATGGTGCCTCTTACTTTACTAGTCTGGATTTGAAGAGTGGTTATCATCAAGTCAAGATCCACCCCAATGACGTTGAAAAGACTGCTTTCAACACCAGATATGGTCAATACGAGTTCCTGGTCCTCCCCTTTGGTTTGACAAACGCCCCACCTACATTCCAAGCTCTGATGAATAGCGTACTCGGTGACTGTCTAGACAAATTCGCTTTGGTGTATCTGGATGACATCCTGATTTACAGCAAAACAGAAGAAGACCATAAGAAGCATGTCAAGCATGTTCTGGATCTGTTGCGCAAGGCCAAATTGATTGGAAATCTGAAGAAATGCGAATTTGGAAAGAGAGAGTTAGTATTCGTTGGTTACAAGATTACAGCTCAAGGCATATTACCTGACCCTTCCAAGGTTAATACCATCAAGTCCTGGCCTGCTCTTACTAATGTCCAAGAAGTCCGTTCATTCATTGGTCTAGCACAGTATTACAGAAGGTTTATGCCAAACTTTGCTGCTATTGCTGCCCCACTAACCGATCTGACTCGTGGTAATGGTCACAAGAAGCGTCCAATTAAGTGGACCTCCGATTGTCAAGAAGCCTTCGATAAGATCAAGAATTTGTTAACTTCTGCCCCGGTATTACAGCTTCCTGATATGTTTAGACCTTTCAGAATTGAGACCGATGCTTCCGATTTTGGTGTTGGTGCCGTGTTGTTACAACCTGGTGAAGATCCCAA